TGCTCGGATAGTTTACAGGATTAAGAAGGTTGTTAAGAAGAAAACAGCAATAATAAGAGGTTACGAAGTCCTTTATAGTATCCATTCGAGTTACTGCGCCACCAGGACTTTTAGTGCGACGCTCCACGACTTACTTTAGCTTTCTGATGTGTGTTAAGAACAGTGGTTTTCCAGCAACGGGAGGCATACTCCTGATACTGAAGATGATATGGTCCAGGATCCCTACTCCTATGTATCCGTAAACTTGATCTATGACTATATAGACTGTAACAAGACTGATATTTAGGTGACAACGTAACTACATAGTCTAGTATAAGGAACTAGAAGACATCCAGTCGATCCCTCAGGACATATCAACAGCCTAGATAGAGTTTTCCATCTTGTGGGTGAGAAATGAGTGTAGTTGCTGCTAGCGTTGCTGTCGAGAAAAATCATGCTACTGCTGCTGCCACATATGCTTGCCCAAGCCTCGACAGTCTCGAGCCATCCAACCACGCCTGGTCCGAGCCCGCGAACCAGGCGTACCTCCTGATTAGAGATCGAGCAGACAATATCTGCTGCGCTCGCGCCATGAATATCAGTCGACTCTCTTCATCGCCTACAACACCAAACTCTGTCAGCCATATCTCCGGTATACCATGCTGTCCAGCAAAAGCAATCACCAAATCGATATATATCCGGAAGTACTCTATGTTGTCTGCATTATCGTACCAGTGTACAGTTAGGAAGTCGAGGGGGCACTCATGGTTACAAGTAGCAACAAAAGCTTCGAGCCATGGTAAACCCATTAACGGAGCTGTAGAGTTCGCATTAGTGACAGCTGGAGATCCAATTTTAACAACGCCCTTCAAGTCAGTCATATATTCAATGTGCTTTTGCACTGCGACTTCTACTGCCAAGTTCGCCTGACTGTCAACATCTGGTTCATTGAAAGACAGAACGTGCCTGACACCTCGAGGTAGAAGTGAACGAACATCCGCTAACCATACCGATCGGTCAATGTTATCGTTGTGTAACATAGGTACAAATTCGATTGTAGAGGATACGAACTCGTTGGGCAAAGTAGCCCAATTATAGAGCCAGCTTATTTGTCCCGTGCCGAAGGCAGATGAGGTCTTGACATCTGTACATGCTAAGCCTCTTTTCACATCCGAGTCACTAGACGTTAAAGCTGGTGACGAGGGGGCGGTCGAGCCGCACTGAGGTTGATCCGATGTTTCGTAGGTGCGACTCAATGCGTTCACTTCCAGGGCGGCAAGCAAGCTGATAATAAGCGTCCACATTTGATAACAGGCACATTGATATGGTAAGTTGTGTCGGCTATCTACCTATATAGAAGAATGTTTGCCACTATTTCTGCCGGTACCCTATGCGTTGAGCTTAACTCTAGAATCCGTTCCATCCTAATAGTCGATTCACGGTCTTGCTAACATAATTGGCGTCGCCGCTAATAGCACCACCAGGCATTGAATTAGTAGACAAATCGTCACTAAGTACGAAATTCTGCCCGGAGTTGTACAGCCGGAAACCTTCGTAGAAGGCTTTGGGGACACCTGAAGCATTACGTTTGTTGAACATTCGTACTAACGTATTGTCCAAATCACTCTGAGTGCCATCGAAGATCATCTGGTAGATAGCTGACTCGGGACAGGGTATAAGTTGACCACTAGGCGGATAACAATTACCTAAGCCATTGTGAGATTGCATGAGTCCAGGGTTCGACAAGCTTCCATAAGTCGAGATGGCTCTCACACACCCCTGAGACTCAGAAAGCACAACCGCGAGTATTAGTCTCGGATCTACACCTGAAATGTTTGCATAATACTCGATAGCTTGGCGCAAGGTCATCGTCTCTGATCTTGTGTTGTTGATAGGTGGTGTGTTGAGACCTGCTGCGCAAGATTGTCCGATATGTGGTTCGTTAATCGACCACATCTCACTCCAGGATACCCAAGATGCAATGGCCGGCCAGGTGGGACTCGTACCGTCTCCAGAGAAGGCGGTAGACGTGACCACGGACGTTCTGGTACCAGTCTGTGTAGCATTGTTTTCAAAGAGTAGAACGTCTGCTAGACGATTGCCAGAGCTAGGTATATTAGTAGGTGTAGTCAGCGACTGGCTGGAAGAGCTAGGGGACGTTATCAATGGAGTAGTTTCCTCAGCCGCTGTTACCACTTTCTCGCTCGGGACTGTCTTTGTTAATGTTATCAGTGAGCTCACCGTGAGTGTAAATGTAAACGTCGTGTTACGGGATTTACTACTGTTCAGAGGAGCTGTAAGCGACGGTTCGGGAGTTGATCCAGCTGGAGAACTCAAATAAGACTCCGTCTCTGTACAAGGCGTTTCTGAGGGTGACTGCGCTGCACAAGCGACTTGAACTATATACAATAGTTGTAGCAGATAGAACAAATCCATTACTGCTCTTGCGCAACCCAGCCGGTGCCCTTTCCTTGTGTCCTTACAAAGAGATTTAATAGTCTCGTATAAGTGCATCGTGCTGATTCATGTAGTGCACCACAACTTTTCGTGGTGTCATATCTCCAGAGAAAGATAAGGCCGACCTCACGCCAGGTAACAGTCTAGGAATGAACCTGCATCATGATTTCGTCTTACTTAACGTCGGAATGCCTCATCAACGCCTTTCATGTGTGCGTGCACTACTTCCTGACACGACCGACTGAGCTGCATCTTGCAAGGCCTTTGCTTCCGCTCCCTGATATCCGGCTCCAAGATTACACACAACACACACAACTTGCTATCCGCTGTCCAGCACAGCTTGTCCGTGCAGTGCATGCAGCCAAACATACAGCTTGGGAGTATCACCAATGGCAGCGTAGACATCGCTTGGAGGATCTGTCGATCTTTGTATCAAGTACCTTCGGGTCCCATGTCGAGATCGAGATTGTCGAGCGAATGATCAGAGACGGCCAGCGTCTCTCGTGGTTGCAGAGTGTTTGTCGAAATAGATACGTGGCATTCGTAATGGCTCTCGACTGGACACGGTGGCAAAAGATGTCAGACTCGGAGATGTTGTTGACCGCGAACCGATTCCTCCATGCTCAGGCTACGCAAGGTTTGATGCTCTTGTTGGACACTTCTTGGCCCGATCGATCATTTGCTGCCTACCACGGTGAGTGGCTTATCAAGCTTAAGACGTCCACTACTAACATCGCCTATAGTCGAGGTTTTCAGATTCCGCACATTGCCAGAGATAGAGCGCCTTCACATGGTTGCTACTTCAGATCAGAAGTGCTGGAGTTGCCCCCGCCTAGGTATCCAGGATTTCGACTCAGCGGCGTGTGTCGGCTGCACCTTGCGTGACACCAAATGCACTGCCTGGCCCTCAGCGGACAGTCTAGAAAAGTTCATAAGGCTTCAAACTCTTAGCACCATGGGGCTAGTCCTCCGGCAACTAGTCTCAGTATCCGATGGACCGGAGCGAGCAAGAGAGATAGCACAGACTTTACCAGGCTCGGAGAATGCTGAAGAGACAGGCCGAGTATGTATGCAGATCGCGGAGATTGTCAATCTTATCACTGGTGGTTTGAATCGTAGACTAGGGCAAGAGTCGAGACGGGGAAGCTGGCCTTGAATTTAGCTACTGTGAAAGAATGTATGCGTCACTAACGCGATCTATATCTCTATCGTATATGATATTCCCTTAGTGGACCGCGATCCCATATACTAGTTCCTAATTCGTCTGAAGCCCACCTGGTAAGCTGTGTCGAGGGCCATCATAATCTTCACTGATCAGGTCTGCTGGGAGATCTAGCTCGCAGGCTGTTTGCATTTTGGTAAAAGCATTACAGGCGGTGATATCGCCCGACATATCCGTGCAGATATCGCCTGCTTGTTGCAGTTTCTCGGGTACCCATCCAGTCATGAAGTCACCATGGTAGCTGAGTCCTGATGTGTCGCCATTCGCGAGGACGAATGTGCCATTAGTGTACCGGAAGGCTTGAGTCTGCCAAGCGAGCTCGTACAACAAGGTCGGGATTCGCTTTGTAAATCCTTTGGGACACTCCCCATCATGAAGCAGCGAAGGGAACGCCACGTGACTTCTGTGGTCGTGAGAATCAAGGCTGACACCATCCCAACACGACGGAAACATAAGCTCAAGACGTAGACCACCAGGGCAATTAGCGTCAATGAAAGTCTTATTGGGCAGGAAGTGCCGCTGGAGTGATCCTTCGATTGGATCACTGCCCAGACAGTTAAAACCTATAGCTTTCTGCCGTAAGGCTTCCTCGGATATATCTTCTGGGCCCCATTCAGATGTTGGTGGATCAGGTATAGGGATCGAGATAGACCGCCGAAGGCTATTACCACTGATCATCCGAAAGCCTTGCTGAAAAGTGGTGCTGGTCTGTGATCCTGCTTCTCGATTCATGAAGTAGTATCTGGCTTTGGTCAATAACACATAGTCGATTGGCAGATACGTCCTCACACCACTAATCCACCCTTCAATGGAACTCTCTCGAAGTTTTGTCCATCCGGGGTAAAGTACAGGGCGGGGATCCAGTAGGCAGACTTATCTTCAGCAACAAGACAACTTGTGCAACCTGAATTGCGAAGCTCAGTGGAGGTGGTGTTATACCCGAAATCTAAACAAGCAATCAGAGATGGTTCAGCCTTCCGAGATGTAGACTAACTTTTAGCTCCAAATATCACATGTGCATGTTCACTAGCACGGCCAAAGCTCTGTAGCGGATCAATACGTCCAAATCCAATGGGGGTACTGCAGGGCAATCGCCAGAATACCGACAGCGCCGGTACGGCCAACGTTACGATGATAAGGACGCTGATCATCTTGACGTTACAAAGAAGAGATACATGTTACAAAGACCAGCATGAGATCTTAAAGACTAGAGACTACCACACCAAAACAAGGTCAACCATTCGTGACTTAGGCAAACATCGAACTCCCAGCTTCAATGATGAAAGCTATGAACGAAGCACAACCATCTAACGCACATACCAATGCAAACCCTTAAACTCCTTCATGCTTCTGTGTCGCTGTCTTGTTTTTGTTGGGTCAATCGTCGTGAACGTCTAGGACTTGCGTTCTTGTTGAGCTCCCTGCAGAAGTCCAGCTCAGAGACCAGACGCTCGATGACTTCATTCCGTATGCCTTTGTATTGGAATTGATTGATGATAGTCTCTCGTGTACCTGGCCTGATCCTATAGGCCTTCGCAAGTCTGAGACCGAGCTCATTCCTATCAATCATCGCCTGTTCGTATTGCCGACTCATCACCTGTTGAGAACGAGCCTTCTCGTTGTGCAACTGCTGCTTCTCTGTGTTGGATTTGAGAAGGGCTGCGTGATACTCGTAAAGCTGCCGGTCCAAGCTTTCGATATGCTGCTGCATTTGTGCCCGATTTATCTCAAGTTGCTGACAGCGAACGGAAAGCGTTCTTTCTGGTGACTCGTCGTGAGATGCTGCCACCACTTCTTGACGGATATCAATCAGGAGCTGCTGTTGAAGCTGTAGTGCAGGGACATGGGTCGCATGCTGCGACTCGAGCTGATATTGCTCGAAAAGCAGCATAAGACGTTCTCGTAGGTGCGCCATCTTCTTCGGCTAAAATCCGACGATCGGATCTGGTTGAAAGTGCTTGTAGATGTGTGCTGTCCGACTCATAAATCGTGCCCTACGATTGTTCAGGTACCTTTATAAAGTTGACCTCGCACCAAAAAATGGTGGACAGATGGACCTTCTCGATAAATGTTTCAGAGTCCTTCAACGATGCAGACTGGAGAGACGAACGGTACATCCCCATTCAGTGACTGGCTTGCTGTACGCGCGCGATACTCACAAACTATAATTCCTGCTCCCTCTACCACCAGTAGTCGTGGCAATACGTACATACGTACTGAAAATAAGTGATGTGCCGCATCGTTTCCTGACTCCATACTGACAAGAGTAGGAACGCACCAGCTCTCCGATCGGGCGATGACGGAACGAGAAACTGGCTCTGGTTGCGCTAGCTGTTATCAGCATCGAGCTAACGCGGTCCAGATGCAGGCCGAGCTCGAAGTGTACTACGAAGCGTTAAGAAGCGCCCACGACGTTAATATACAGTATTTCCAGGCTCTATACCATGCACAGCGCCAATTGCAACAGGCTTATGCAGCTATAGATACGGCTCTTATCTTTCTCCAAACTCAAAACGAACGAATCGCAATTATCTCACCTGCCGACAAGAAACCTTACACGGAGGACGGAATTAGGTCCAACTGACATTCAAATCATATAGTATCTTACTTCCACGTACAGAAGCTGAACTTTGACGACAGTTTTCCTTCAGCTACAAACGGTACCAAACCAAGATGGATACTATTGTGTTCTCCTTGGTCGCTATCGCGTTATGTATCTTACTGATATCCGTTACCATCATAGGGCTTCTGATAGTGGGTTACAAACTACTGAGGATGTCCCTCTTCAACACATATACTCGATTGGATGAAGAAAATAACTCTCATCACGCATGGAAAAGTACGTATCTTTCACCGACTATGTAGGCCTCATATGTTGACGAAGTAGCAATTCAACCTCTATCTGCGCCGTTCAAGCCGCTGCCTTCCGTCCCATCACACCCACATGGAAAACGGCGAGTCAGCTTTCAGGTCCCAAGGCCTCGTTCAAGTGTTTTTACCACTGGTCACCAACGTTACAATTCGAGAGGTGAAAGCACCAAGCTCGAGAATCAAACAGAACCCGAACCTATGATCGTTGATCCTCCATCTATACGCCATACATCGAGGACTAAATATTCCCCTCCCAAGGTCTTTAGTAACGAGGAAAGAGGCTCAGTTTCTTACAATCCCACACAGAATGTCCCTATAGTAACCACCAACCACGATCTCAGCCCTGCTGCGAGCGATAACAGATGGACACTTGGTCGGATAAAGAGTGCTCGCAGTATGCCCGAAGTACGAGAAGAAGACCACCGTAAGTCTAGGTTCCTTGATCCTGATATAGTCGCTAACGTGGGGGCAGCTGCTTTACGTCGTAGTCTGAGTCTTACAGTTCCTTGATCTCTCATAGTACATCGACTTCGAGCTGGCTTCGAGGTATGCCTAGTAGCTTACCTACATTATGCGTGGCTGCAGTTCAGTATACAATATAAGAGATGTCCTTAGGCTCTGTGGAAATTCATCTAATGTAGTAATGTATTTGTTAAGCCTTTACCCTCTGCTTATTTGGCATGCTTCTTGTTACGAACTGTAAGTTCACAGACCTCTTCATAAGACGATAAGATTAATGTTCTTGAAAGCACGCCGTGTGCCAGTTTCCTCGTCGGGTACCTAGGTAAAGGCTGGTCTAACAGTACGAGTACTGAGAAAGGTAGTCGTCTTAACTTTCTTCCCTTGATCCTAGCTCACCATAGAACAGCCAGCACTCTGATGACCTACCCTTCGACTGCTACCACACTAGCAACCACATCATCTTCGGTCGAGACAGTCGCTAGATTTACAGATCCGAGCATCATTCTGCCACCTGCCTTGAGCTTGCTTCCTACCCAGGCAGTGGGTTCTGCAAGTCAAAATGCTTCGGATACTGGCATCCAAGTTGCTAACTCGACCGCAACATCATTCTTGAATGCTTCTTCAGTGTGGAGTGGCCGTGGCACGCCGACGTCGACGAGTAGCATACTTGTCTTCACGGGTGATGCAAATTACAAATCTACGAAGCTGTTGATGTGGGCGACTTTGTATGCTTTATGGATAGCGACCTGAAGGAAAGCCCGTTTCTGTATAATACTTCAGCGATTCTGTGTATATAGCATTCATTCATTTAGACAGCCACCACTTTCTGGTTCATTTTTAGGCTTCCAACATTGCTCTATCAGGTCTTTATGCTTGCCTCCACTAAAAATCATATCGTTCAACTTTGCAAGCATCTTCGAGAGATGATCTCGAAACAGTAGGTGCTGATTGCTATCCATTGATTCTATTTCCGCGATACCAGGACACTCTACATCTGAGTCTGCATCTTCAGGGTCTATAGGTATGTCCTCCAGATTCTTGCAGCTTGACTTCTAACTTTAGCAGAGTTCAAGGACGTGAGGGGACGACCTACCTTGATAACTTCGATTGATGGTGGCCAATCGGGCCCAAGGATCTCCGAGGAATAATAAGAGAGCTGATTACCTTGCTGTGCTATACAGAAGACTCTCCTATCACAATAGGTATGTAGCTCCTTAGCCTTCTTGAAAACGCTCCAGCATCGACGACGACCTCTTTCGTAAATAGCCTTCTTCTTCTTCTTCGGATCTGAGGATGCCTTGCGTTTCTTAACCTGCTTCGGTGGACGAGGTCGTCTACCACTAGACTTTTTAACAACTTTGCTGCTGATCATCGAGGTAGTATTACGAAGAGTTTAGGATGCAAGTTCTCGTGACCATGCTTTCAAGCGGCGCGACTGTCTACTTATATACTCGTGCTCATGCCGAAATATCATCAACAATACGAATTCGTCTTCCATGCGAACCACGAAAATGAGTGGGCTACCGATTACAGGCGCGTATCAATGGTATGCAATTGCTATTGGGGCACTCACTTTGAGTTGGCTGGTAGGAAAGTTGTGCTATTCCTTAACGCTCCACACTATCGCCAGCGGCTACACTATCTTCCTGAGATTCATCAAATATCCATCCGTCATTCATCCTCTAGATTGGAGACGCTCTCTCAACATCACTCGACTCCACCTTCTAGTAGCCTGTGTGGTGTTCGCGCTTAATCTCGCAGCTTGCTGTTATGCAGCTAACGACCTCTCCACGCTGTCGACGGCGACAGCAGTTATGTCGACGTTCAATCTTCTCGTTGTGGTTATTGCCGGTCAATGTGACATATTGAGTTACATTTTGGGCTTTTCTCGCGATGATCTGTCCCGTCTCCATCGACTGTTTGGCGTTATGACGCTGCTAGAGGCGACCGTTCACTCAATCATAGCTCTAACGAAAAGTACGTCCTGGGGTCGAATGCAGATTGAAGGTACTATTGTAAGTTTCTCTGAGCTATGTATACAAAGCATTGCTTATCCTTCTAAGATTCTAGGGTGCCTGTGGTCATCTGTCGCGGTGGCCGTCCCTTGTCTTCGAGTCTTCTTGTACGAGGTCTTCATCAGAGCGCACTACTGGCTAACTATGGCTGGTTTGGTGGCCCTCTTTGTGCATGTTCTCCCACAGGAGACTGTCCTCTATAGATACGGCTTCGCTGCCGCGTGTATACTATACGTGGCTCTGGTGCTTTTCGATATCACTCGGTCAATGTTATTGAACATCTGCCCCAACAAGGACACATGGATTCCGCGACTCACCGTGTCCGACTCGTATTTGAGTGAGAAACAACAGCTGCTGCAGCTGGAAGGTGTTCGACATCTGCAATTCGACCTGCCAACGCGTATACCAATATCTCCAGGACAGTATGTGCAGCTGCGCGTGTTGGACCTTGGTGTTAGGTCAATGTTTCAACGGCATCCTTTCTGGGTGACGACCTATCAAGACTCCCAATCAAAAAGACGTGTTCGAGTACACCTTTTGGTCAAGGTTTGCCATGGTCTTACGGCCAACCTCCTGCCGGACAGAGAAGAGCCATACCGGGCATGGATCTCAGGACCTTATGGTACAACGCAGCAATTTGATCGGTACGGGACCATGTTGATGTTTGCAACCGGCATAGGGATCGCAGCTCACTTGCCATATATGAAACATCTCATTGAACTCAGAGCTGAATCCCGTGCGTGTACTAAACGCATTATCCTTGTTTGGCAAATGAAAAGTTTGAGTAAGTACGCCGTCTCCACTGCAACAATGCTGACCCGCCAGATGATGACAAGTGGGTTAAGCAGTGGCTTGATCAGTTCATGTCGAAGGATATTGAGAGAGTAAGTGTTTCAGCCATGAGATGAGGCGTGACTAAGTTGATAGTTGATCCACATCCGACTTTTCGGTCCACCTTGTCAACGATATGTACCTGCTACAGGACCTGATGCATCTCCAATCAGCTTCCCGCCGCAGCACACAGAAGGTTCAGGCGAGCATGGCATCGTGACGCTATCGACTGATCGAATGAATCACTCCCATATCGTCGAAGCTGAAGTGAGACGCGAGGATCGTGGGAAGTTGATGATATCAGGTAGAACATGATTTCCAAGACGCGAGGCGACGCTAACGGGCTTGTGAGCAGTCTGTGCCAACACCTCGATCCGTACCGAATTGAGGCGCCTTGCTGCGGCTTACGCTGACCAGGATGTACGCTATTACGAACATGACTTTCAGCCGCGTCAGCGGAGTAGATTTTGGATCAATTGACTGTCGGTGGCTAGACACGATCGTGGGTGTGGAGGATTAGAAGCTGAGCCGGCATAGTCCTTGTACGCGCGCACGCTTAGGTGGTTGCAGTAGTGCAGCTGCCGCACCATATTAGTTAGCGTAAGTCTGTCATCCACAACACATTCACTCAGAAGCAGAACGACTGGTGCGGCTCGCGTTACCAATTCTGCATGCGTAGTGCCGCATGCTACGCATGAGGCCGCATGAGGTCTCTATCACGTTTGTAGAAAGTCGCCGCTCTACTCTTGCCCGCTGTGACCTCTCTTTCACGTGGTCATGTGGGTTGATACCACGCATTCCCATCGAACTACGAGACTCCTAGATTACCCGCGCGATGCGCTGATGTGGAGTTTGTTTCAGTAATTGGTATCATCGAGCGGAGTAACGATGCTGAAAATTGTGCAACGAACTGTTAAATACATTGGCTGTTCAATTATCATCGGATCTTGTTGCAGCAAGAGAGTCACGATCAGCGCCACAAACGTCAGCCAGTACGCCTAGTAATGTGATTCATAGACATGGACCCGACCAATTATTACCATACCGGTCCTTACGAGGGGAACAATTACAGTCCTCCCAGCATGAACGCCCTCGCTTTTGGCGAACCGACATTCTCCTACCATCCGCCCGACGATCAGGATGTACCTGATGTGCCGAGAGATGGGGCAGCTAATCTAGCTCAACTGAACACGACATATCCAAATACTTCTACCTTCGAAGGGCAACGAAGCGTGGTTCATGTCCATCCCTCAGGAGTTGCGAGCAACACTGGTGGTGAATTGCCTACCAATACACAGCAATTTTCAAATCGATCCAGTCACGATACAGGTGGCAACAGTCGAACGACCTTTAACAACAGCAGAGCGAACGAGAGAACACAACCCGTTAATCAGCCTAGGAGCAGAAGTACGCCACGCAACCTAAGCCAATTGGGCGGTATACCCAATGTACAGAGATTAGAGCAAAGAGTAACACACCTTGAGAGGTCTCTATCGGCAGTTGGTAGTATCGAGAAAAGACTCGCTGTTCTGGAAAGTCAGGTTCAGAGTTTAAAGACACTTGAGGACAGTATTACGAAGAACCTAACTCAGATGAAAGATTTGAAGTCTCAGATCGAGCAGATCATGACTCAGATGTTTCCAGACTAGTTTAAGTGTTCAGCACACCATGTACTACAGAATTGCGAGCCTAATCTCGAGTCCATAGTTTGATTTATGAAAAGGCATGAATGTACTATCTGCCCACTCTGCAATGCCCAAACTTTCTGTTCTGTTTGAAACAAGCTATGTGGGCTCCACATGCTTGCAGATCGTCTAACGGTAGCTTGAAGAAGACAACCTGTGTTAGCGTTGTTGGACGTAACCACTGATTTGCATGGGCGGTGAACTTGCTCAAATAAGCTCGGTATGCCTGTCACAATCCCGCATTTTACGACGAATACAACTGTAAGCATGCCGGCAATGCGTCCTTTTTGGACGCGAGAGGAGGTTAGTTACCTCTTCGCTGTGATCCACATAAGCTGATACGTGTTTAGGAGGAACGTTTAGTGCTGAGCCGCAATCGCGGATTGACATATGCACAGATTGCGCCTTTGGTCGGCAGAACAGAGATGGCTTGCCGTTTACATGTTCGCCGTCTTACAGAGCGAGGTCGCGTCAACAAGGCTGATGTTCGGGTAAAGCAAAAAATGAACAGATTTTATTCTCAGGCACACGAGACAACAACCATCTTTCTACGTGCTGCGGACCTTCAACAGGTTCTCGTGGAATTTCGTCAAGCTTGCAACACAAGGAAGAATCATCCACTACGGCAAATAATGACGGATGGGAGTGCACAATATATTGAGTTGAGGTTCAGCATCATACGCGAACGGTCACTCAGACAATTAGTCCCAGTCTCCACTGCTGCACATTCATCCACAACTCACCTGCCATACAGCTTAGCCACCATCTTGAACCCAAAGGACGCAGTATAAATGTCTGTTACACCGACTTTCACAGCTTCAGGTACACGTTGCGACTCGAGCTTACCTGTAACGGACGTGATGGAAACCAGGACTGAGTCTCCAAGAGGCCAGAGATTCGTGTCACCAACGCCGATTGTGAAGCAGAGACCGACGTACGAGCAGCGGCTTCTTGAGCTCCTAGAGGAAGTCTCCGATCTGAAACGCGAGGTCATGTTCTACCGGGCAATACAAGATTCCACCGAAGATATCATACAGGGTTTACATGGTGTCACACAGGAGATGATCTTGAACTATTATATTCGTCCTAATGGTCAAGGTGAGGGTGATACAGCATGGTTAGAGTGCGCTGAGAAAGTCAGTGCAAGCACGATGCGTCATGCGCAACGAATCAAGCAAGCTGAAGTGGAATGGAAGGACAAGCAGGAGTGTAGATCAAGATTGCAAGTTCGTTCGTTATCAAGCGGTTTATACTGATACCACACGAAAACACAGGGCCTGTAGAAAGATGTGGACAAAGCAAGGCATGACAGATGTACATAGTACATATACGCTCTCTCGTCCTCGGTGCAATAGACCAATCGTCTGCGCAATAGCAATGTCTCGTTGCTCGCATGTACAATGGCTAGAGTTCGATGGCTTGGATCCCAGTTGGGCAGTGCTGTATACCTCGCGCGTAGAACGTCTCGTTGGTGAACTTCCTGAGCCGTTACTGCAGCAGCCCTCCATTATCTTCTTCATCGGGAAAAGTCAAAAGTCTCGAGTGCTTAAGTCGATGTTCCCTTCAAACAATATATCACGACGCTCAGCCCATGGCATAGCAAACCTTTTCGTCGACAACTCATCCTTGACTAAGAAACATCCCATCTTCTTTGCAGACTGTACTGTTGGCGCCATCTCAACGAATCAACTCAGCCACTGGAGCAGCTGTCACGAAAGCTTTCGCTGGAGGGTGCAAACGAACAAGGCTCTCTTCTCTCGATCTCTGCTCAAGCTCGCGCACAGCAATCTGCTTCGAGTCCACTGTCACGTCATGTGCATATTCGCTCAGGACTTAGGCGGCAATGCCTCTTGTCATGATTTTATATCAGCCTGGTCACCGGGCCATAAGTCAGCTTACGGCATTACGCCAGCCCTTTTGATCGTCGCCTCGCAAGGGAAGGGCATCGCAATGCTCGAAGAATTGAGTCAAAACCCTTCCATGGCTCGATTATTCAGCTCCATCGCGACAATTGTTCCAGATTCAGCCCCTGGTTCCATGGCCTGGGATCTTACAATCACTAAGGAGATGAAAGTTCTTACGGACAACATGCGCTCCCTATTGGAGGCTAGCGATCTCTTACTAAACGCAAGAGATTATGCCAGAGTCTTTAGACACGCTGCTCAAGATTTTTGTACTGATCCAGCCTCGTCTTCAGACATACTGCGGTCCTACCGCCATTGTGCAGCATCACTAGACACAGAGAAATTCTGTGCGCTTCTGACAGAACTGTTTCAAATGCCCATACTACATGATCTTTCTGCGGGCGATAGAGCAGAGTTTGTGGCGTCCGCAATGCTAATGCAGGGATATCCCGCCGGACATCATTGTGAGTCATTGCTCTCATGGTTCTCCTGGATACTAATGTGTCTAGACTTCCCGCCTGATCTTCTGCTTCATCGTTTTTTGCAGCCTGTCATCACGAAGGCTGCGCAGCTCTCTGTCGAATATGGCAGCGGTGACACTGATGTCGAAGATTGCTTTCGTTGCTTGGCAGGGAAGGTACATAATGGCAGTCCTGCGGTGCGACTTCGCCAGAATGTACTGCGTCGGATGCGAAGTGTAATGTTACAGATAAGAACATATACGATTTGCTTACATTGTCTGGTGCGAAGGCCTGAGCACACGACGCATTGTGGGCACTCTATTTGCGATGTGTGTCTACGGGACAATCATCAACGCACCGGCAACGGATACAGCTTCAGGTTGAACAAGTGTTTGATCTGCGAAACGCCTTTCCGTCAAAGACTCAAGCTCAAACCGCCCACAATGGCCCCAATGATGCTGGCAATTGACGGAGGCGGCGTACGAGGTATCATAGCCCTCGAGTTGTTGCATAAACTCGAGGTCGCGCTAAACGTCCCTTATCGGATGTGGGAGTTCTTTGATCTGGTTGTCGGCACTAGCGCAGGTCAGTCTCGCGTTACGTTTTCTCACGACTTGGTGACTAATTGTTTCTAGGGGGCTTGATAGCACTTGATCTTTGTGTAAGTGGCGGCACCGTGCAGACCAGTATGCATCGGTTCGAAGAATTTGCGCATCGTGTCTTCCGCAAGCAACCAAATCGATGCTGCTCTATATGCAGCGGGGTATACGAGACTATATCCAGGCTCACTAACGATAGTAAATACGACTCTACCGAGTTGGAGGGTGTGGTAAAAGAAGTTTTTGGAACTCGGAACACATTGTGCGATGGTGGCATCCAGGCTCTCTCACGTACTAAATTAGGCATCATGGCGACTACAGTTGGGACCTCACAGCTGCGCATATTCACAAGTTATAACGGTATAAAACGTCCCTTGAATCATGAAAGTACGTTAACTATCTCCCATAACGCTGCCAAATGCTGATATAGTCTCAGACTATAAGATTTTGCGACATGAGGACAGCGAGCTAGAGCCTAAACTCTGGGAAGTGTAAGTTTTCAACTTATCTTCATATAGTCACGGTGCTAAAGTTGTCTAGGGCCCGTTGCACCACTGCCGCGCCAGGGTAAGTGCCATCTGAATGCTTGATTGTGAACTGATCTTTCACATTAGCTATTTCACTCCGAAGTCGTTGCCAGGCTTTGGTGGATTGCAAGATGGAGGAATGCGTGCGAACAATCCCACTGAAGCTGGACTCTGGGAGCTCGCTATGATATGGCCGGAAAACCCCCAGCCGAACCTTGTGTTATCTGTAGGCACTGGGTTTGCGAAAGCGCCAACTCATGAGTTGTTGCAGCGACGTGGCTTCTGGCTGGACGGCTTCATGCCACGCATACTAGGTGCATTTCTTGCTTCGCCGTGTTTGCACGGCCAGAACAGCTGGCTCGCACTTCTCAACCGACTAGACAACGACAGTCGGGAAGCCTTTGTCAGATTGAATATTGAATTCGAATCGGAAGAGCCCGCGCTTGACGATACAAAGCAATTACCACTGTTACATGATCTAGCGCGTAACAGTAAAATTGACTACATTCCGCTGCGGAACAAGCTCTGGGCTCTCAGCTTCTTCTTCGAGATCACAACTGTGCCAAAGTTCGGGAGCGGTTCTTACACCTGTCATGGAGTCGTCCGGTCTCGCTTCGACGACGTACGTCCTGTGTTGACAGCCATCTGTCGGGAGTACAAGAATCCATCGGTGGCAGTAGATGGTTGCCCAGCAATAGAACTATCCACCGAACAGTGCTGTGCACAGTGTGGATCACTAAGATTGCCAGTACAATTCGATGTCAAACGTCTAGAGGATACCATGGACATTGTGCTACGCTTTGAAGAGGGTATACGTCATAGCATCTGCGGTTTGCCGACTTCCACCAGACGTGTTGTCGACCTCCAGAGTGCGTGGTTTGGCGACCACACATTAACGTGGTCATTAAGCGCAGATGAATGTTGCGTCAAAACACGGAAGCGTAGAAACACCGCAGATGACCGAGGTGCTGCTAAAAGGTCAAAGACCATGTCGTAGCATGAAACTCCTTTCGATGACATGAAAGAACTTGACCATATACGTGTCGTGCGATGTCACAAGGACCTAGAGCCTCAAACGTGGAGAGGGCTCGATGGCGAGAGAAAGCGAGGCAAGTCCTGGCAGCACACATCGGTGAAATTGAATACTGCAGATTCTCTGAACCACTGTCTAACTGCACACAACAGAACAAGCTACCGGCATCGGCGTCACTCCAGCCAACGTGCGTCTCATCCCCCGTGACGATGATGCTTATGAATGGCAGTATGAACCCCAAAGATACTACCTGTTCCATAAACATATCAGTAAGCACAACCTAGGAGCATGCCGGGAACTTTGTCGAGAGGTGGGTAAGACATTTCGAGCAAAACTACGCGCCGACTGCAACGTAGGTAACCTAATCTTGTATGGTCACGTGTCCTAAGTAAAGCAGGTATTTACTAGTCCGACAGAAAAAGGTGAACTGAGTAATGCTCTTTCACAGCTTGACCAGCAAACACACGAGTTGCAATGTGCCCGAGACGTGATCAGTCAACACGAAAGAACTATATATCAGTTGCAATCTACCCTGCAGCACAGAACTGTGGAGCTGCGACAGCGTCAGCGTACATGTAGGGAGCATGGCACTCGTCTAGGTGACGCGGAGATGGCGTTCAAAAGGTTCCGAACAACTCTGCAGGTTCTTGATGAACAGGTTTCGAGTGCACTATCTGCTCTGCAGAACGAGAAGACGGAATAGAAGTATGTACGTAGTGAATTGTTAGAATTGATAGTCAGTTATATATATAATAAAAGAAAAAAGCTCCCTTCTATCACTCGAAAGCATATCGCCCACAGACTTCTCATTAATGTATCTGCGAGAAAAATACAGTAGGCAGTAATCGGTTGGTTACCTCTTACACTTCACCTAGCAACAAGGAGATGGTGATTGAAGCCTGATGTCCTATTGATGTCGTCCGCGCTGTTCACAATCAGAAAACTGAACCTTCCTTGCTGCTAATCATTGTTCTTGGTCCCAATCTCGGCAGCTCTCACTGCTAAAGTGACCCAGTCTATCTCAAATCCTCTGTGAGATTACCTAAGTCCCGACGAAGTCTAGCACTAACATGGCAGGCATGGATATATCACTCGGTATCGTTATCAGCCCGCTGCTCGTGCACAGCTATGCGATCTGCCGCGGCACGTAGATAAGTTCGAGCCTTGTCAATGACTACCCGGCTGTTTCCGTCACGCGTCTTAGGTATGAGTATTTGCAGTACATCCTCCTCTCCACTTTCCCCATTGTCTGCTTCATCACGTACTCCAATCATGGCAAGTTTCCACGAAACGGCACTCTCTTGAAGCTTGTCTTCGTAACGCGCTCTTAGATAGGAAGATGTCTGCCAGGTGAAGAACAACGTGCCCAGCATGACTGCCAGCTGGCAAACGTCATGAGCGATATTTGTGTGTTTTGTTTTGAGCACGAAGAGACCCATCATTGTGATCTGCATAGTGGAGCATCCAGTCAGCAAATGAAATAAAGCTCGGAAATAAAAAACCCCCATCTGAATCGAAATTAAGGTCCGACAGATGATGGAACACGTAGAGATAACACGGTCCCGAGATAGCGAAATTTAGCCCCGCTGCAACGAGAATCAGTGGATTCAGCAAAGAATAGACCATACCTGTTGCTTGTGAGAACCATGCTTAGCAAAACCGGAGAACTTACCAATAGCGGCAATGCAGGTATATAGAGGATATAGTTCTCCCCATTTGATCTGACACAACATCCCTCGCTGCCACCTTATTTGATCGCGTGATGACGAATCTTTCTTCGCTTGCATGATGTATTTGAGATACTGCACTGGGCGAGCGAAGGTGTAGCCTACCGTCATGAAAGCTTGGATGAGCATATAGGACAAGTAGTAATTGCTGGCGAATGGAAGGTTCACTGCCAGTATAGTCATCAGGTCGTGAACGCCGTTCCTGATGAATGATACCAGGACTGGTACAAGTCCAGCTGCAATGGACGTGGTAACGAAAAGCTCGGAATAAAGAAACCAGAAATAGTACGACTGCACGTTCAACTCGTTACTTAGTCGGTTCACGGACGGACAACAACCCAAGGAGATTCGAAGAGACAGAGAAAAGAGGGTCAGCAGGATCGACGTTGCAATCTGCGGCAGGCACCCTTGTATAGCACTGACTGATAGCTCAACCACCGGTGATGGTTTCGTGAGGCCGACCAATCGTAACATACCGCTGAGTTGAGACAAGCTACCACTAGCGGATATAGGAATTGACCATACAAGTATCATAACCACGATGATGGTATTGATGGCAGCCTTGAATATTTGAGCCTCGCGCCACGATTGACCTAGACCTGAAGTGTTGAGATTTGTCATGTCGCCGACGTGGTGAAACTGTAGCTGGGTTAGTTTTGAATGTATCCGCATCCGAGAAAGTGCTTCAGCTACTCCATAGCTGTCGACAGACAAGATAAGAGCTACCTGAGCACTTTTGATGTCTGTTTGCATAGTCTTCAAACTAAGCTTCAGTATCTCCCCATAGAGATCTCTTAATGAGCAAAGTCTTGCCCCAACCTTTGCAGGCAGTGATCTACAACAGACATCTAGCCACGGTCTCCGCTCATCGAATCTGGCATCAACTATGGTGCTTGTCAGAGCCTTACTTGTTGGATATCTGCTCAGCGCTTGCAGGAAGGCCGTCTTCCTGCGCTCGAGTGCGCTAACCAGAATCCGAAGTCGTGTCATGTAAACTTGGTTCTGAAGGTCTCTCCGAGTTAAGAAATCCGAGCTTCTCAAATTGCGGTGCCACTGCTCTGGCAGAATCTATGCGTCCATGAACGTGTGAAGGTCTTCCTGCACGCCTTGTACAGCAAGAACTGAATTCTTCTCTCCTCGACAGGTTTCCTGCCATCTTTGACACAAGCTCGACCCCATCTCGAGCTCTCGACTGATCATGTTGAGGACGAAACATTGAAGTAATACATGGTAACCGACATATAACCAATACGAACGATTGTCTTGTGGGGGCACATTCGACCACGTGAGCTGGTTAAGGATCTCCCAAGAGGCATCGTTGCGTCGAGCAAAATAGTTGAAACAACTGAGAGATGGCGTGATAACTAGCGCAGCTACGCCGAAGGTATCGCGTAAAGTGCGTATAAACCGCAGGAAAAGTGTTGCCTCAATGCCACAATCGTCCAGAATCTGTTTCTCTGGTCGTACAACAGCACCAAGAATCTTCTCGAGTAGCGTGTGCTTCTGCGATCTATCAACTGGTAATCCACCGAAAGCATAGTGACGTGAGTTACTGGACCTCATTAGTATCAAATCTATGTTCAGTAGTGTCACCACATACAAGATTATCCCAAGCTTTGGCGATCTTTCTGATGTTGCATAGATGAGCAAACTGACCATCAGCATCACCGCCGAGGACGAAATGGACGAGATTAGAGCTCTGAAGGAATTCAGATGGTTCTGCTGCGCTTTGCTCGACATGGTAGCCATACCGAGGCTTCCTTGCGGATTGCGGTGGTCGAGGAAGTTTTTATGTCATGTGTGTTCCACTAGAATGCGTGGGTTTTTCTTCTTACCTACATATGGGACTCCTTGTTGTGGTTCGGTTCGACCTTTGCGAACAGCCACGAAACAACATGACACCAAAGAAGGTGCACTTCGCAACAACGAGGCCTCGTTGGCCCCGAGCTGATGAGAGCTGTATGCTGAGAGACTTTACTCGACACGTTCAACAGTGTTCGACATGCACGGTCACCGAGAGTCGTGATACATGGCAGTGCAAGCTGTGTGCACGGGGTCAAGAGCACGGCAGGAATCTCCGCGAGTACATTTGTTACCATCGAGGCAATTTTCGTTCCGTGTTTGAATGGCCAGATGTGGTCGTCATCGAGGATACCTTCCGGTCAGCTTCGATCTACCTCCAGTCTATTGCTACGAAAGATCGTCACTCTAAGCATAACCAAGGACAACATCCGTTCACCTTAGTACAGCCAGCAAGTGTTCGGGTAGAACCTTTCATCTACTCGAGTGGCCAAATGCAAGACGATGGCGACTTGGTACTCCACGTCACCGTGCCTAGTTTTACGATTCCGGTAAGGCTTGTTCGCAGAACAAATACTTATAGATAGAGGTCGAAAGGCGTATCAGAACTTTTGAACAACTTACAGGTGGCGACGAGCTAGGTTCACGCAGAGGTGATATTGATGTGTACCTTAATGTGTACCTTAGTATTCGAGTAACTTTCATTCAATTCTGTAGATACTGTAGACTGCTAAACCCAAAGTTGGATCTACTACATGACACATCTAACCATGTATCTATAGCTGATTTTTACGATAGTCTATCTAAGAAACCTCTCCCTCCGGAAGCTTATACTCATAACTCGAATCTAATAGTATGTCGCTATAGACTCTCGATTGTCGATGGTTCGATCTGACACGGGCACATAGACCGCGATCAATGTGAACGTAATTGCTACGCATAAATTTAGAAATAGTGACGCGGCGATGATGGTAACGATAGCAACCTATTTCTGTCAGTCAACAGCGGCGTTCATAGGTAGCCCGACTTACCACGTATCTGCACGACCCATTAGAAGGTTTTTCGTAACACTCCTTAATTAACAGATGCTCTTGCACAAGCATTGTTAGGACAACCGACAACAAACCAGCTTCGAGCAGTGTGAAGAGGATGACAGTGACTTGGAGTGAACTGCTTCCGTCCTTGCATTGATTGGTGAGGACACTGCGCAACAAGCTCACAGCACATGCCGCGACAACTCCGCCAAGGACGAACCAGTCATGGTCGTTCGTCCACCACGAATTATGGTTTTTCGATACCAATACTATGAGCACCAGGAGAGCAACGTTGATAAGGAATCGACCGAGGTCGACAGGACGATTATAATGTAAAAGGACTGTCTTGGACGACATCATACAACAACGATTGTGTGGAAGAAGAGTTCTAAGTATCGTGGTGTAACGTCTTTAAGATTTAAGACACGACTACATTGTATGGTAATAGTCCATCTCCCACTCTATCGAGTGGACGGTCCTAATATTTCATGCTACTGCCTTGTGATATCAAATCGTTGTAGATTTGAACACACAGCGTGGGCAGATGAGCATGTTCGAAGGCGGCTTTACGACTTCTGTACTCGTGGTTGTAGTTAACACTGCGTACCACCGGCCGAATATGCTGGAAGAAGGCATGTCAGTATCACGTCAGTGTCTAATGGCCAGTGGCTTACCTTGATGTAGCCGCCGACTTGTGCCAGTGCACGGAGATTGCTGTAGCCCTCATCACTATGCTCGTCGAAAGGGTCAAGAATGACAGTCCCGTCTAACATGAGAAAGTGGATCCGGGACGATCTGATGGCGTCGACTACCGATCTGGTTGGGGGCCAAGCCATGTTTGATCGCAGAAAGAGATTCTTCAGACCTCGGACCTGATCCAGGGCAGCAACCATGGTGTGATTCAAAGCCATGTCAGAATTGCTGCTCAAAGTGTAAATCTCGTCCGGCTCTAGACAAAATGTCTCTAGGTTAGTGTATTGGAAAGGAAATTGTGCACCAGAGAGCACAACCCTGTGTAGGGCTAGATACTTTAAACTCTTAAGACGGACTGTAAACCCCGTAACAAAATGAGTACCGCAGCAATGCAGGTACTGTAAGCTTGTAGAAATGCGGTCGAAGAAGGTATTCAGAGCTTGATTAAGCACCAAAGCTCCCTTGAGCACACATGTCGTCAACGACGAAGTGCTCCCGGTAAACAGAGCTCCAAAACCACTCCACATGTCTCCCTCAATCTCGAGTGTCGACAAACGGGGCAGGATGTCAAAGTCAACGAAAGACGGTAAGGTGTTCGCCGCGAGCGATATGCGGCCACGCAAGAATATCTTCATCATTTCGAGTCTCGGCAACGACGGAACTTTCAGCTGATAATCATCTGCAAGGAGACTGAGATGGCGCAGACTACCGGCATGCATTCCACCGATGTATCGGGGTAGAGTTACACTAAGTAATGTCAATATCCTTGCGGGATTGTTGTTCATAACACTCACGCTTCGAGATGAAGAGCTTGCAGGTGTTGAGCATATGGCAAAATAGTCAATAATGTAGCTATGCACAGCCGTCGGAAATTAGCCTTCCGCCAAGAATTAGATGATACCTCGTTGCATGCACAGTTGGGATCGCGAGCTGTGATACTGAGTGTTTTGATATGCTTCGCTACACTGGCATTCAATAAGGCTTGCATAACTCTGAGACGCTGCGCCTCCGTTGACTCGCCTAATCGGCGTGGGTGGCAGTAAGAGCAGCAGCGAGCCATAGGAAAGGTCATCCTTTGATATACAAGGTGTCTCCCAACCTCCTGCCAACGGCGACACACTCGTAGCATCCTTGGTATCTCTTTCGGCGGCACCTGTGAACGACTTAGCTTAATCAGTAAAGTCTGCTTGCAACATTACGCGTTCAAAAATGGCAAGCAGAATCTCTGCTGGAAGGCTGTCCATACTGCGCTGAAGGTTTTTCGTCAAAGCTGCAAACCGACGCTCGATAAATTGGTTCAGGAAGTGTGGCTACGATAATGTGTGGGTGTCAATGATAAACTGTCGCGGAACACCAAGATTCTGGCAACTATCCTCAACCAACCCAGTATGACGCTCCTACGACCACCAAACGAGATACTATTCCCCATAGTTGGTTACGTATTGGAAGACTCGGTCCCATGCCCATTGGTAGAACTATGGAATGTTGCCGGCGAATGCGAGAACGTCGTCAGTCCGAGATCTTACAGCATCCCGCCGCACAAGTCTGTCAGCGATTTCGAGCACTGGTCAAATGGTGGGCATTGCAGAGGCGATGCGCCCCGCGCACGCGGCTTTGGCCTGGATCTGGAAAATGCTGGTCTCTACAACCATCTTGGAATTGCAACTGCCGTAGCATGGCCAGCATACCTTGGCCCAGCTTTGAAGCTTGGAGGAAACTCAAGCCTTATGTCCGAGTACCATGGAAAAACTGCCGCAGGAATATACAGCATCTCCACAAGATGCTCCGACGTGCCTCGAAGCTGGATCGTCTCGACCTACGTATCGACCTTGTTAGCGAGTCTATTCAGCGTGATGATAGCCAGCAGCAGTTTACCAGTACTTTAGCTTGGCAAGACATCCTCGATCGCCTCCAAAAGAAGCGACTTCACTATCTTCCCGCCACTATAACATGTCGTATTGCGGAGAAAAGTTTTCGACGGTATAGCCATCCCATCGCTGAGATGTCAGTGTATTCCATGAGGTGGTTCGGAGACTACGCTGTTCATGATGGTCGTAGCTTCAGAGTCGAAATCCAGGACCGCCACGCCGATGAGTGCATCCGACTACTATCAGCACATCTTGCCAAGATTTACTGTCTGTTTGGTTTGCAGGGTATTCCCTATGACGAAAGTAGTCTACCAAACACCACCAGATGAAGTGGCATGCCAAGGATTGCCACTGAACGTGGTGGTAGCTCTTTCACTGGCTCGTTACCAATCCGGAATATCACGTGCAGTAGGCTGTGGTGTATATGAATGACCAAGATGATCATTGGATTTAGAGTGCTCAACAACAACGACCATTAGGATCAACATGAATGAGAGGACGATTATCTCCCTCAGTCATCAACTGGTTGACGCGTTGGAAAGATATGGTACACAGCGACGCGTGGCATGCATGCTTGAAGTCGAGCTAGGCAAGGCAAAAAGCGAGCAAGAAGTCCTGAAGAGAGCTCTGACACGACTGGTCAAGTACGACGACAACAAGGTTGAGGACTATACCAAGGCGGTCTCCGAAATTACGGAGTTGAAACAGTCGATCGCGGCATTGCTGCATAAGTTTAAAGCTGTGTACATCCATGGCTCTATCACGCGTGCACAGTATGGCGTCAGTGGTGATAACATGACGAAGTTCGTTGACGAAATGCTGAGGGACTTCGCTGCTGTTATGGCTGACTACGGCTTAAGCAGCGAATTGGTTGCACAGAAAGAAACTTCCCGGAGACTGAAGAGGGGGTTTAATGCAGCGGAAGGAGTGACAGACACTATATACGCCCGGAGGGTCAATCGTGGTCGTGCGACTCCTAAAGAGTCTATACTCAAGGTGACCACCAACCCTCAACACTTGGCAACTCGGAAATCAACTTGGGACACATATTGTCAGCAACTTGTTGATAGCACACAGTGAGTTCCTAACCTGAATGAAGATTCATGCTGATCAGGTTGTCGTAGCGCAAACGAGTGCGCAACACGTGTGGACAATTACGTTAAGCCGAGTTCCGGTAGGCGCGATAAGGATCATTCCTTCTATTCAGGTTGGCGTGCACGCGCGGTTTCTCCCGAAGACCCAAGCCAACGGATGCAGTCAGAGAACCTTGTTGAATCTGTCGAGGGTCGGCATAATCCTAGGGGCGAGGATGCGGGGACATCCGATGAAGAGAAGGGGGATACAAACGCAGGTATGGGAGGTGTGGCAGTAGGCTGTAATTGGTCACCGGGTTCTGTTCCTTCCGTGTAAGGAAAGGACTGAAAGTTGAGTCTCAGTGCAGGGTGACATGGATTTGAAGCTTAATTGTTGATTGAGTTGTAAAGAACATGTATATATTCTGTGATTTGTGACACATTCGGTAGATAAACTCTATCTACGATTCGTTCGTTAGCTACCACGTTTACCTTTCGCCTAAAACACTAGGGGTACGTCTGGCTCGGTGGTCATGGGCTGCGACGATGAGGTGGATAGGGCACCGCGTTTTGATCCTCGTAGGCTGGGTTGGGTATAAGGAGTAGGTAATCAAACACTGAATCAATAGAGGTATTTCTGCAAGATACAACTTTTCGTATACGATCGTAAAAGAGCGACATATTTATTCTTAAAGGAGCGGTACATATGCGCGCGTATTCAAGTTCTAGGCAGACTTCAATCACTGCTTACTGCCTTTAAGCTGTGCCATCATGGCATAAAAAGTATCGAATTTCCTTTTCTGCTTGGTACTTAGATCGTCCTTGATGTTGACGTTGTTATGCATCCTCCAGGCCAATTCAACCTCTTGCCGATACTCTTCCTCTGTGAGAGGCTCGTCATCATCATCTTCGGAAGGGTTTGGGCTTGGGCTTAGGCTTGGTCTTCCTTCCGATTTGGCAACCTCTTGCACTTTTGTCTTTGACGATAGTGGTTGCTTGGTGGCAGATGACGCAAGCGGTGGTGATCGCTCGATGCTTTGAACTATTTCAGTTTGAGGCACGGGCGACAGGGACTTTGCTGGTGACTCTCTCATCGGGCTCAGTCGACTAGCCTCTTCGTGCAACGCAAATTCGTTCGGGTGCCTCATACGATACCACTTCAGAAAGCGCTCAGCTCGACTTGAGACACAACTGTAGATAGCTTTCTCGGCCGAAACTTGACTAACACCATGAAGAGCACGGTATCTAGAGCTACTTTCCCAACTTCTTGTCTTGTTCACTTTGTTCTCCTGGAGCACCGGTTGCTTAAACTGTGCTAGCACGTAAGTCGTAGGATACTTACCAAGCGATACTTCCCTGTTACGGATAGCTTTCTGGCGTGCTTTGAAATCCGGGTACCTGGATGTCATCTTGACGATATCAGGGTCCAGGGACTTTGCCGTTTGCATTGGATTTGCCTGAGTTTCGAGAGGAAGCTGGCATACGACTGCACAGATGCCTTGCACCTCATGGAGCTTAGTAGCCGGCTCTCCTACATTCAAGGGTCTATCCAGGACACGATACTTCTCCCGATCAAGGCATTGTATCTCTCCGCCGTTGATACTATCATCACGAGGATTTTCGGTATATTGCTCTGAACCGTAAAACTGTTTGTCGATAACGAACCACGGGCTGTGGTCTGGTCCATATTGGTTAACGAATGACCGGCTGCTGAATCGCCCCTCAAGTAAAGCGACAGTCTTGGGCACTAGGCCTGGAAAAAGGGGACCTGCACCAGCACCTACAGCCGATCCAGCACTGACTGGTGGTAGTTCTTTTTCGTCTAACACATCTTCTGGTGCATCGACTTGATCTCCAGCTGATTCATCGACTTGTTTGGTATCATCAGAGATAGTATCTGGTTTATCTAACATGGCCTCATCTGTAGGTAGGCCCCTTCCTTCGACTCTTCGCTTCTTACCCGGACCGGTGACCGACTCAGTGTCAGACGGATTGTCTGGCACCGGGTCGTCAGCAGAAGGGTTGTCAGGCGACTTACTGTCAGATCGGTTGTCGACCTGCCCAGGCGACTTTTTCGGTTGAGATCTGGGAGCTGGGACCTCCTGCGATTCAGGCTTCTTGCGTTTGGCTTCCGACATCTTGTACGTTTTTGACTCCAACTAACGATACTAAGAAAAATGGGTTTATGTATCAATAAGACCGACCTCGTGAAGTAGCGGGTAAGACCTGTATGCTCGCAAAATTGCGGCCGCTGAGATCGCATTGCTGATACCGAATTAAGGGGTGACGTACCACGAATGTATGTGGTTGAGAATACCACAATCGCTTCTGCTAACATCGAGGTTTGGCCGATGTTTAGTTGAAGGATTCGCACTGACTTCGCTTCGCACAAGCTATCTCCGAGCACCACACACATCACTCGTTTATTTGACAGCTTCGTCGGTACGAGCATGTACCTGGCACCGGCATTTTTTGCGACGCCGCCCAGTACTCAAATGCTGTTGATATGTGGTCTCTAGGTGTGGTCATGGTGGAAGCGCTCACTCCTCTTCAAGACTGGAAGTTAGTCGGGCTGACTTATCAAGCATAGCGACGTGGAAATCTACAACAATGCATTCGGGTTACGCCTCGAAAGTTTCACAGACTTCTACGTGGACTGTTATACCTGAGAACGGTTGGAAGATGGACGGCAGTCCAGAGCGCGGCTTGGGCGAAGGATGTCATGTACAACCCTGCTAGACGGAATGAGCCTCTGGAGACTTCGAAGAGATCTCTCAAGAAAGGCAGAGCTGTAAGTGGACCACAGAAGCCGGGTAATGAAGACATCGCAATTTCGTCGGGTAGTACAATAGAGCTTACTGAGGAGTCGGTTGAGAGCATCTGGGTTCAGGATAAGGTGCTCGAGGATGAAGTTAACAACAGCCTCAGCACACCTTTATGACGTGCTTATATCAAGTAACGAGTCACAACTCGGTCGAGGACATGTTGGATTTGAGCTACTTCCTCTTAAGATTATCATTTCCGCCCAGCACGCTCATGGTTGTCAACGAACCAGGAGCGTATTGTCCAGCTGATATCGCATTCCTTGCACAAGTTCACGCAATACCTGTCTAGCACAGACTCGGACATCTCAATTACTTCCGTGAGCTGATTGAGATTATCGCCTTTGTGGACCGAAGCCACGAGGTGTTGTAGAGAGTGGGGAAATACCAGCGTCCCTTTGGGAGGTCGAGGTAGCAGAAGACTGAGTGGGCCGCTAAACGTCTTGAGGTTTACGAAGTGATCGAGAACGGTATCCCTCACTGCTGCCTTTAGGTCCTGTCGAATTTCGGCATCAATGACGAGATGTTTCAAGTCCTCGGGGCCTCTTAGAATGCACTCAGCTAAGCGAGCAGTGGTTATTGGCCTTCGTATGATAAGGTGAAGATACTCTAGCCATGGCAAGTCATCCAAGATACACCAATCGAATCCAGCATCGACCTGAATCGTGATTGCCGAAAGGTCAAAGTGCTGAGGCTCGTCGATTGAAGTAGGTTGACACACTCCCTTCGTCTCGGCACTCCAAGCTAACAGATTGACATTTGTTCCAGAGGGAAGCATAGAGAATGGAGGCCTGCAAGTTCGATGCGGCAACTCTATTTGTACATGTGTCAGACCTGCACGCACAAATCTTTCTGTGATAGTGCTGAAATTGAGACGTGCTAGTGTCTCGCCCAGACAGCCGCACAAATTGATTTCAAGGCGTGTAGGCCTAGCTCGTTCACTGAGCCACGACACTTTATTCATGAAAGCATGAAGTGTACGCAATTGATTGACATTATCGTACGTAGGAAGTGTTCCACGAAGTCGAAGAGTCTCAATGTCTACCAGTAAAGCTGGTGTTGCCTGCAGTTCTTGAAAAGCTTGCGCACTGCTATCAAGCTCGCTGACTGTCAAGTCCATGTCGAGATTCATTTTGGGCTGCACTGGAGCTGGGATGGTTGAAGGAAGTATCCAGAGTTCATGACTGACATTAAGAGAGATCGAAAAGTAGCAGTGATGACCGAGAGCAATCGATGGCACTACAAGTAGCTCGAATCAGGACTGCATTCAAACGTATGCTATGCAAGTGGCATTCTTGCTCTAGCATTGTGGCGTTTGTCGCTACTACAGAGTGACACAGGATGTGAGCAGCTAGTCTTGCAACCATTTGAAACTGACTCTCTGTTGCATGCAAACACAAGAGGGGTAATATTTCGGCTCCGCCATCCTACGTGCCAAGATTTTCGCCTAGAACTGGAGGTATTAGCTGCCTGAAGGCCTCGGTCATCAGTAAGTTCGGGCAGCAGAACTTCAACTGAGTGATTGCGAACATCGTTTGGTTGAGCTGGCTTTGGGGACAAGACTGTGCGATGTTAAAACCTAGGGACTTGATCAGTCGTGCCATGGAAGAATTGGGGTTTTCCCGGACTGAATGGGATAATCTCGTGGTCAGTAGATACTTCGAACACAGGCGCTGACAGCTAATTGAGCCAGAACCACGCACGAAACGTGAACAGAGATATGGTCGGATTTTCAACCTGGGGAAATCCGGACCAACCTTGGAAGGCTATACCAATCAACGAAAGGGAGATCGCGATGACGTCCTTGAAAGAGAAGTCGGCGGGATTGTTCGTAAAATACAACCTTGATCCAGATACAGTCGAAACTGTGATACACGGCCGACTACAGCAAGCACGCCGTAACTGGCTGAAAAGTGTTCGCGAGTCCACAAAACGGCAGGAGCGGCGGTCTGTACCGGTCGATGAACCATTACAAGGTGACCAGGAGCTTCTCACAGCATCTGCGGACGACTCACGTCAGTGCACGGACGCCACCTCCTCAGAGAGTAGGAATACTATCATGCAACTAAGATCCGTGTTGCAGCCAACCGAGGACTAGCGAAGCGGCATCGAGACGTGAGCTACTGAGCTGATACCAATCACAAGCCTGAGTGGATATGTGGAAGTTGGATGCGTGGAGACATAGCCGCTTCCTAATGCTTGTTGATCGCTGACGTGGCGCCCCAGCTGACCTGGTGGTTGCTGTACAACCTGGTCAAGGCAAAACAGGCGTTGTGGATCTGCTACGCTCTGCTATCAGTCCTTCATCTACCACATTTCATCAATCAATCATAGCTGCACAAGGAAGTTGCTGAAGGAACCCCTCGGTCTACTTCGTCTGCTCTTAGCGTCACTTACGCTGGCCGCGTAGGCCCTGCCTAATGCTGAACGAGCAAGCTGATCTGGCGAAGCGCGCGCTTTGCAGCAGGTTCACTTTAGTTCAAAGGAGACTAACCCTTGTCCCGCAAACTATTTCGCTTATACACCCAGCAATAATCATCGATACCTCTAGAGTAGTGACTTCAAGCACCAATAGTGTCGAAATCACAGCTGGTCTATTCTAACACAACTCCTGAACGAATCGCCTCACCTCGCTCCATTCGCGACAGCAAGTTTCCACATTCACATCGGTTATTGGTGTGCCACACGCTAGACAATGGCTTCGACCATAGTGATGTATGTTGTTCCGAAGCTCAGCATAGAATTGAGCTGCACAGCTTGTATATTCTCGGAATTTCTGACGTCTTTTCTCGTCCCTTTGTTTCTCCTGTTCAACCGCCCAAATAACGAGAGCTTTGGTTCGCTGGCGAGCCGACAACTCGCCGACCATCGAGTCTACCAGAAAACCTTCAAACGGTCCACCGTTCAACACAGAGTGAACCCAGAGACTGGGAGCCGGAACTTGCGAGCTGCTGCAGTCGAGGTACACGACGATTTGGGTGTGAGCGTAGAGCTTGGCAATCAGCTCCCTGGGCGCAGTATACTTGTACTCAGGCGGGAGACATCGTGTGGAGATGAGATTCACTACTGTTTGCTGCAATATTTGCTTGTAGGACTTGTGTTCTGGTTTGACTGACGGAGATGGCATGTTAGAAGCAATGATAGGCATGGCTGGTTCTGGCTACAAGTTGCTACCCAATATATACCTTCATATTCCAATGTTTGTGCTGCATATTTCTGCGTAGCCTGTGATTGAGTGTTCCCACGAACATGTTGACCAATCAGGGTAGTAAAACGGACCTCGATTGCCGTCCTGTCTCTCATCAACAGACGTTAGTGTGCTATGTACGTCGCGCTAGTTGCGAGCATCTGCAGAGACGATGGTCCTGGGTTTCAAGAAGGTCGCTTCGCGCAAGTGGATTAGCAAAGACCTGAGCTAGGCACACATTGACTGCCTGACAACGAAAATGTTCGCTATTCTACATTCAATAATCGAGCATCCATGAAAGCTCTTCTGTCTTCTCTTCATCTTTCCTATGAAGCTGATCGTCCGTTCTGATCGTGAGTGTACTATAGAGTCTGTGCCAACGGAATCTTTTCTCTCAAACTCTATTGTCAACATCTTGTGTCCATGCATCATGACACACGTGTTTCTCGATAGCTCCAAGTTCTGTTGCCACTCGACGCGTAGCATCTCCACGGCATCGTTCTCAGGTGCGAGTCGAACTTCCCGTGCACTAGAATATTGACAACGAACATGGAAGTATTGACCGACGTACAGGTTGTTTATCTGCCACTGTTAAAGAGACCAGCTTGACAGGGCTGAGGATAGGATATGATCGCATCGAGGGTTGCTCGACGGCGATGCGAATGTCAAAGTTGAGGTCGAATTGCCGCGTAACGACAGATTGGCCGTTCAGCGACATTGCTGGTCCAGAAATATGCCGCTTTCTGCATGGCAAAGAACTGACAGACGTCAGTTTCTTAAAAGACGACCACAGCATCCTACATAGACTCTGGGTTTGGGCTTCATCTTCGTGGACGTAACACGTCACTTTTCCAACCGTTTGCTGTATTGCACAGCTGGTCCGACATGGAGAGCCGAAACACCTTCTGCATGGGCATGGTCATGCAGATATGTACTCCACTGCCAAGTAGCGAAGACCCCGAGGATGAGACAACATATCACCTCGAAAGAAGCCAGTCTCTATGCTTTATTCGTCACTTGGATTCATTGGTTAGAAGATGACTCTCTTACACCAGGTCGTGCCTGTAAGAACCGAAGTCCAGTTCCCCTTTTTATCGCTGCCTGTTGTGTGGATTTCGCTGTCAGGAATTTAGAAGCTCCAGGACACGTGTTCCGACGAGATCTTTCCGTTCGACTGCCAGTTCAATCTCCATCTGCGTGGACTCATCCCACATGATGAAGGTAATAATTAAGTCTCCACCTTGTATACAGATACACTGCATCAATATTGGCTGACTCCATGGGCTAATCCGGTATGCCCCTACCTCGGTTTTTTGGAACCTAGTAAGGAAATACCGGGTCACGAAATATTGCTCTGTTACGTCCGGAGAGATAGCGCCAATTTGGTAGATCTTAGGAGTTCTGAGCATGTAGTTCTCGAGGGTAATCGCCAGGCTTAGGTAAATCCAAAAATCGTAGTACTCCCAACGACCCGTGCTGCTAAGGTAATGTATGATAGGCTCAAGTAAATACACGTTGACACTTCTCGAGCAAACTACAGCTTTGGATTGTTCGTAGAAAGCCCGCGCATCCAGGACGAGTTTTAAGCGCTGGATAAATTCGTTTTCGAGTTTGATCCTGGTAGGCTGGGAAGGTTTGAATTCAAGAGTGGTATGCGGCGAGTTGTGCTGTGCATTCTCCAATGCGATGACGTCTGACACGAAGAGGCGTCTCCTCGCCCAAATAGACTGTGTGGCTCGGTCTTTCGCTGGCATGGCAACGGCGTTAATCAGATTCAGTGTTTCCTCTGCAGTCAGGCTTCGCTGCAATAACAACTTCTTCACCCCTGGACCTATAGCGTGTTCGAGCTGGTCTTTCAGATTGTGGTCAATAACAATGCCGTGGATGCTGACGCCAGAAGACACTTCTGTGCAGATAGAGAGACCATGGAAAGACATTGTTTGAGAACAACTTCATGTAAGCTTGCTAGGCAGAATTGAGCTGGTTTGTCGCTCTTTTGAAGCAACGACAACATGTCAGATTGAGACCGGCGATGGCTCAGTCCAGCCCCATAGCATATATCCGAGCTTATCGAGCTTGTTGGCGACGTAAGCTAGTAACCTAGCAAGCTTCTGCCGTGGTCCCGCGGTAGTAGTGTCGAGCTACGTTGAGCAAGGTGTGGCCTTGGATGAGTTGGACCTGTGGATCTTGGTTCCGAACTAGGATCTCCTCCAAGCGCCTAAGGACATACAGCCAAGGTCCAACTCATCTTACCAGTCATCTTCGGCTCGCTGATCTTTCTATTACTGCAATTTTGATCAGCAGAATATGTAATCAAGCACGTCTCGTGTCAAGCTTCGTGTCGAAGACCGCTCACGCCACGCCACTAACCCAGAGGCTACGGCGGACGCATGGAAGTATGCGGCAGCTGATTGCTAGGCACGTAGGGGTTTGCTAAAAGCGTTGCTTTGCTTTAACATTCAGCTTTTCGGAACTCCGCGTGCCTGGCTAAGAAAGACTAGTGCGTATGGAAGAGTTACCTAGCAACCCGTCTCAGGGATCACACGCACAATCTCGAAATGGCGCAGCACTACTGCACCATTTCGTAGCTGTCACTTTCCACATGGCTCGCTTGCGACGAACTTGTATAGCTTTCTCAAATTAGTCGGTCAAAGCAAGCAAGACGAGTCGTTGAGCTTGAGACATTCCTGATCGTACAAATAAAAGGTGTTCTCTTTACCTCTAAAGTGACACTCGCTATGGATAAGATACTCACGTACGACTCCAATAATGTCATACATTCCAAACTCATCATTGTTGGGGCCTTTGAATCTACTCGATGGGACTACGACAATTCACAGCATCAGGCTCCTCAGATATATTGAGCCTAAAATTATCCAAGAAGAGTTAGCACGCACTTTCGACACTTCTTTCGAATTTGCTTCCGTCACTCAGAGCAAAAAAGTTGACCTTGCATTTGCGCTAGAATGCCTGACATGGTGGCGCTTTTATGGGGGCAGCATTGATCTCAGTTATGATACGCTGCAGCAAGAGATCATCTACCACATCGAAGTCTGCTTGCGTTACTACGAAAGCCACCCGAGGATGAAAGGACAGCTACTATCACCCAAGGTGTCAGCGTTTGCAACGCACTATTGGCAATATCTTCTGGCTATCAGTCGCTTCGAGTCTTGGAGTGAGTTCACATGGAGGTGGCATGACTCACACTCTGTCGTTTATGTCAGCTCAGACACCACTACCACCGAAGTGCATTTTAGCAAAATCGATGAATTGTTGCCATTAATGCGTCATCGACGACCGGCTGTCCTAAGCTACATAGAGAAGAACAACGACAACAAGAAACGAGTTTTACCGGCCCTAGAACCCGAGAAGCGAGGATTCACCTACGTCTCAGACAACCCAAGCATAGAAAATAAGAAAAACAGGAAAAAAATGAAGGATTATAGGGCTTCGGTAGAGAATAAAATAGCCTGAACGCTTAGGTTGAATTTCATAGTGGAATCAGCTAGACGGTGTGTCGCATTGAGTAATTTGTGACTTTCACAACAGAGGACATTGACAGTTATTCGAGATTGGAGAAGGGAGAGATTTTCTCTAGGAATTCTAACTCGGGGTAGTGGGGCAAAGCGCCTCAGCACGGGAACGTCGCTATGTTAGGTAAGTGGCCACTACCGTGCGCATCGAAGAACGAGTCATCACCTACTGTTGCGCTTTAAAGTGGAATTTGTTTTAATATTAGGTATACACATGGTGACTCTGTACTATCGAAGACTACTGGTATACCGGTACCAATGAAGAGCAGCGCCAAAACGAGATTGTCGGAGTGCACTGATTGGGTCATGTAACTGTGGTGCTGATGACTGGAATCGGTCGTTAGCTCGATGCTAGAACTGTGATGTGCGTGGTTTGCGACCATAGACAATGACACTAGTCTTGTTAGTTCCTCCAGTGCAGGTTTAATGGATGGACGGACAAACATTGGTAAGTACGCATGTATTCTCCGGTTGCGAACGTCCTGCCGCACATTGAAAAGCAGCATCTGGTACTCCTCCTCTTGCATATTCAAGTCTTGTTTCAACAGCTTTAGCGACATCCCGCTCAACCCGACCAGTATACTCTCCACAAGAAGGCCTCCACTCTGATGGAAAGCTGGGTTCTCAAGTCCAGCATTTAGGGGTAACTTCCTGATCTCGAAATGTACATTCTCCAGCTCAGCCGCTCGCATCGCAGCTTCATATTGAAGCGCGATCTCCAGATCCAGTCCACGTCGTCTTGCTGCGATCTGCATAGCAATTCCATACTCTTCCAGTGAGGTTCCTGCCAAACTGCCATCGTCACATCGGAAGGGTAGAACATCTTGTAACTCCACAGTACCGCCTGAATTCAGGCTGTCGCTACATCTCCTCATGAAAGTAGGTGCATCTCTGATCGAACCTGCCAGCAGTCTGCCGTGGATGAAGTCATACTTAGTTGAGGGCCACAGTTCGTCGAAATCACTGATTTCGAATCTCAAGTTTCGCGGTGCCCAAAGCCGTCGTGGTGGGCTTAGATCGATACCAGTGACGATAGCATGCGGATGATGCCTGGCAAAATCGACAGCCCATTCGCCTGGCCCAGTGCCAACATCAAGTACGGTAAGTGGCTCAGACGCGTTGATCAATGCAAGAGTATCAGATCCTTCCAGTACTGATTTCCAGACTAGATGCATGATACCCAGGCGTTCGTACTCTGCTTCGTCGTCGGGAAAAGGGTATCTACCAGCATGCAGTGCATGGTATCTGCGACCCTCATATTCCTCACCTGCCCAGATCGAAAGAGGTATATCACTTGATGTGCTTTCATCTGACAGGTAGCCTTCGTCCTCGGTATCGCAGCACATTTCTTCAGAAATTGCACTCAACACCATAGCTGACTAGCAAGAGGTAAGAGAACGAGCGTGCATATGAGAAAGGACAATGCATGTGTTAGTCACTCGAGCTCTGAGGGTCTCCACAACTACAAGCTGTCCGAACCAAGCCAATCGTATTGGCAAAACCATCTAGAGCTCTGCCACGAAGGCCTTCTGGGTAGTCCATCAATGACTAGGCGATTCCAGGCTGGTACGAATGAGCCATCACTCGATCATCGTACGTGCGTTTTTCGCCGATCCGGAACTACATTTCAATGGTACTGCGATCGGCATGGGAGTATGCCTTTTCCCACCGGTAAACACTAGCAAACTTGCACGGAACAACCCATAATCTGGCAGCTTCTGACAATTTGCAGATAGTGCAAGGAGCGTTAAATTCGACGAAGGACGAGACAGCTCATGCTTGAAGCATCGCTTTGAACTGGTGGTCACATCGGTAGCGGCTCGCAGGTAGCTGTCGAGAACTAGTCGCGGCACTACTTAGATTGCACCTTGCTGGTCGGTGATGGCGCTTGACATATTTGGCATTTGCTCGACAACACAGTGGCGCACTGAAGTGATTATGCTTCTCTGATGTCGGAGATGTCGAGTTCTTGGAGCTCTCTTCTACATCTAGCATATGAGTCAGGCCACGCCGTGTCTGCAGTTTGTCAAAGTTCATCGGGTCATATGCTTCCCAACAAGCATGGATTTTCCCAAACCCATCAACGCGACCAATACTAGGCCAGCCATCCACAGCATTAGGACTTACAGAGACGTACACGGCGGCGACCCGCCTGCATACGTTGACGAAGAGATTTACACCGACGATGGTTCTGACGACTCTGATTCTGCCTCCAACGCTTCTCACAGCACTGATAACACTGCAGCTGTCTTACAGCAGGCGCTGAACCGGCTTTTAAAAGTGGGCCGCCAACAGAACCTCCATGTTTCCGTGGCTATGAGACACGTGAGCGCCAAAAGTTGCAAGGTCTACAAGATTTACAAAACGTACTGCAGGGACTAAGCAAAACACAAACCGAGCTAGATCATTGAGCAGTTCTGTCAGCTCTGTATCTGCTGGAGTAGTGTGCACTCATAAAGATGGTGCTTGAAGCAGTGGCTTTCTCGCGTCTAATGTGCCAAGGTCCGGAAATTCGAAAAGAGATCCGTAGCGGTTCCACGGCTCCACTCCATCCAAGTCATGCGACTCATCCAAGTCATCCCAACCATCTTGTTCGAGTCTTCGAATCCGCATTGGCCAGCTCGAGCAAATATGGGCCCAATACGAAACTACGCAGACAAGGCACCACATTCCTGATTGTTGAGCTCGCCCTTGGAAGCATAAATTCGTTCACACACGCTCTTGGTAGATAGAAGAGTGGATGGTGTTGTATGTACATGCTAGCTGAGGAAAAGAGAGAGAGAAAGCTAGGTGGGAGGAAGGTGCGGTCAGCGTACTTCCCCAACAACGCAGCAGCATTCCATCCTGGCCCCTTCCGCCTTCTGTGTCTTCTAGTCCAACCATCTTTACAGCATCCTTCGACACACACAAGTTGGAGCACCAATAAGTAGAGCGCGCATTTAGGTACTGGGTGGAGATACTGAGAAGGGGAGAGTGACCTCATGTTACCAAATCTTGCGGAATCGCTTCAAGCCGCGAATAGCTTGTGTGTGCTGTACCTTGGCGACGACTGAGAGCCAGTTATGCAATTATAGCTTCAGCCGTGGCTGTACTTCAAAACAAACTAACACACGAGACCGGGACGTGTTTCTGGCTGCCAAGGGCTGTGATTAGTGCGAGATTCCAGGTGTGTAGCGGCTGAGCGAAAGCAGCATTGCTAGGTTCCGATAACAGCCATGATTCCAGGGCACAAACGCATCGTGCCTGCATTCTTGGGTAAGTACGACTCAGTCGTTTATATATATCGTCATCCAGAGCCCATACTTACCGACCACAACCCCCATCAACAGCCGCATACCAGTCACTACTCGCGATATCTTCTCCCTTGTTCTTCGCTCGCCTTGATGGTACCGAATTTGATTGCGAGGATGATATCAAGCTCTACTTCAGATACTACTCGGTGCATAATCAAAATCGATGGACAAGACCTGATCGTCTCAGCCGAGATCCACGACATTCGATCACCAGATACACTAGACGATCCAGTTGAGCAGATTCTCCGTGCGAGTCGCGACACTCGAACTGCAAGAATACTCATACATCCGGAACCACGCAGGGGAGGATGGCCACATATTTGGCATGGCGCAGACCTCTTCTATCTCCTGACGGCTGTGGCCCTAGCTCGACTAGATCACCTTCTGATTGAATTCACAGATGAGCAACACCTCGACGAATGGCGAATCCCGTGGCCAGCTGTAGGTCCTTATCGCCTAGTAGCACTCAGTCTCTCTTGCCTCACTGCGAAAAAGGTCACGCTTTCGAACGAACGCACTACCACAAGGGCCTTCGGTCGCAAACTGTATAGACGGATTCTGAATACAAATAAGAGAAGGAGCCTTCTTCAGTATTCGAGTGCGAAGTTCGTGTGCAGCTGTGACAGAGGAAAGCTCAAGACATACCAAACACTTCTGGATCAAATTGTCTCATATAATGATTCGGTGAGCGCAGTAGCGGCTGCAATGAAGGTGGATCCCATTGTATTGGCGCGAGGCTTGCAACAAGGAGTGGATGATGGATGGAGCCAGGCAACCCATAGCGAAACGATGATCTTAGCCTACATTCAGTGCTTGAAAGCAGAGCTCGACAAGTTCTGCTCAGGAAAAGTGCCTTACAATAAGGAATGTTGAGCTAGGCACTACGAACGGGAGCATATCAGTGACGAGCAGTTTGCTCACGGCATGAGCTGCCAATTTCAGTGTAGGGAGCCCTGTGATGTTGGGCTACGGCTCTTGCGACGAGTGTCTTTTGACTTCCCTTGCCTTTCTTAGTCCTCTTCCATGTTAGGTGGTGTTTCTATACCTCTCCTCCTCAACTTGATCGCTCACTGTTTGTGCCATATCGAGTCCCAAGCGAACTAAGCAGCACCACATTCCAGCATAGAAGCGACTATCAACTCTGAAAATGACAGTAACAAGACTCAAAGGCGGATTCGGTTGATCCAAATGCGTTGAAGTCTGCCTGCTGAGGGCGCTCTTGAGATGTCACAAGATCTTGTCTTCCACTTGGTGAAGAACCATTTTCTACCTGCATCGATCTGAATTGCATAACCTTTACCGAAGTCGTGATTTTCGAGCCCGTTCTCATTTTTCGTGGTTCTGCCCTGCCACGTATTTCGTTCGTGGCTGTCTCTCTTGCGTGAGTCCATTGCTCTGAGCTCCCGATCAAGGCTCTCAGCCTGCTGTGATCCTTCCGACGCGAATAGAGTGGTGTGGTCACTAACGCATTCGCCGATGTCCCAGAACCGAGCAGCCGGAAAATCAAACAAATACAGACCAAGTCTCCGAGCACGTCCATAGTAGTCGCAATCACTGGGGTAGAAAGGGATAAAGAAGTCCCATTTACCAATCAGTTCAGCAGCTCCGACGTTGACGTGTGCTAAATTATCATAATCAAAAAATCCAAAAGCCCACTCTTTCGAAGCTCCTCCAAACTTTTGGCGTACAAGCTTTTGCTCTGCAATAACACCTGCGAACAACGAGGAATAAAGGTGTGAGGCCGCTCTAACCACCACATCTTGATGTGACCAATAAAAGTCTGGTATATTATTCCTCCTGGCGAGCTCGAGAAGAAAATTCTGATATTGCGCAAATGTCAATCTTGTTGGTATACTGTAAACTGCGACATTGTAGACATTTTGAAGTTTAGTGTAGTTGAGGTGATACTGTGTATCGGGTGAAGAGGATCGTTCGGCGTTTTCGAAGGAATAACCGCTATTATCAAGTACCAGTATCTGGTCGCTCGGCCATCCCTCCGCTATGTATGAAAGTAGAGTCTGCTCCAACATGCAACTTTGTGAGGCGAAACCGATAAACAGTGGTGTGGGTGGGCGGCAACTCGGTGGATGCTTAGCCAGGGTGATCTGAGAATATTGATCATAGAGTCTGGGTTTGTGGAAAGAGCTGTCACTTAGAACGAGTGATGGTGGTGGGCAGAGCTCGCGCTCGTCAAAGTCTGAGGTATTAACTATGTTTGGACGATGCGTAAGTAATATTGCCTGCGGCTCTTGGGGTGTTTGTGGGTTCCTGGTCAGATAGCAAAGACTGAGGACTATAAGGCCAATGGTCCCCAACAACCATGTCCTTCTCTTGGATACAATCATGACTTCGTCACTGATCGGTGATGTGTGAAGGAAGAAACGATCCTCGGTGTCGACGAGCCTGGCTGTAAAGTACCATGATAACGAGCTTTGTCAGCCTTGTAGCCCTTTTAATATTGCGATTCCACTACTTGTTTTATGCCCAGAGTGGTGACGACAGCACAATCGACTGCGACGATGAATTGAACGAGTTGAAGTGATGCTAGTGTTGACCTGCAAAACTTGTGCTAGGAGAAGTAGCAGAACAATAAACTACCACTTTTTCAAGGGGTTTTCTCCTTGTTACTGCCCATCACTTCTGGTGATCGTCAAGATTTGCCACCAGAGGCCATCTATTAGTATGTAGCGGTCGGATTGACGAAAATGTGTAACTCGGTTATCGCTGAATTCACCATGAAGTTTTTTAACACGTTCTTTCTGCTACAAGTATTGATTCCCTGCTATGCTATACTGCCAGTGCATTTACTAACACCTGTCATCTCACAGATAATCTATAGTGCGGCGCTTATCGAAGCTCGTAATGCCAGCTGTGCCTTTGATGGAATGGACTGTTCTGAAGACTCGACTTGTTGTTCTGGTTGTTGTTCACTCTTCGCCCCGCCTCACAGATCGAGTCATTGTATTAGTAAAGCAGCTAGCGGGTTGGGATGCAAAGGGTGGTGAGCTCTGATGAAGCATCGAGTGTATGCGTAGTAACAGACTTGGCGATTGCAGCAATTCGTCCATCTTTCCCGACAT